GTGTTAATGATGATTCGTGNCTATTACTGGTTACAGCATAGATTATTATAGCAAATCAATTATACTTTCAAATAACAAGTATTAAAATTGAAAGGAAGAAATGAAACGGCTCAGCACTCTTAACAAAATTGAAGTTCTCAGACCTACAGGGGTGCATGAGATGGTAGTCATGATTCCTACGTTTTAGTTGTTGGTCGGGCGTAATGTCCAGGGCTAATTTTCCACTTTCGTCTCTACGAGCTCCGAAAACTAGTTTTGTTCTCAGTTTCCTCTGCAAATTTTTACATAAATTGGAACCCATAATGAAATATGAGATATATATCGGTTAATCGGAAATTATTCCGAATCTGGTGATGTGCTTTAATATATGAAACTATCGTTTTAAACATTTTTTTCCGATGGGAGATATTTAGAAAAAAGTGTACAGTCATTATATAAATAGATGTGAGCGTTTGATTTTACTAACGGCTTTCAGCCAGGCCCTGTCAAAACTTGAAATGAACATGAATAGCAGATTAGCACAACAAAATAAGGACAAACATTTCCTAACTTAACTACTTCAGTGGGCAGAGGAGTACATAAGTGATACATTCTTAGATAAAAATAATAGAGATGGAAGTGACTGAGCGCAAGGCAAAAGGCCCAGGAACTGGTTTCAATAACGAAATAAAGATGCCTTTGTACATGACCATTCAGAACCTGTTTCAGACAATGACACTAGTCACATCACTGGTTTCTTCTGCGTTCCGAGGTTCCGAGGTTCCGAGTCGGCTAAACAAAAGGCTAATCCAAATGCGTACAGTGTGTCTGCTTGGTTTACATGCGGGCGCCCTAATAACTTGCACGGAAGAGAGTCATTATTTTGTTTTCAGTTGGTACTCCCTTCCACTCCTTCGAAGATAACTACACACAAACCTCTGACAATATTGAACCTAGAGCTTATTTGTGTCAGTAGCAAAGTAGCATTAAGTAGGTTCTAATGGGCATACCGAAGGCAGGTTCGTAGCCTCAATGATACCTAGTAGTTTGTGTGCATTCTTTGTGCGAACTGCATGGAATGAGAATGCTATGGAGGTCAAGTTTGTCTGATCGACATGTTTCGTCTCCGAAGCTACGCAACGGATGTGAATTAATACACTAAAAGATGAAGGGACGGTGAACTTCAATTTTTGTTTGTAGACCGTCACTCACTTATGGAACTGAACCCTTATTAAGTAGCTGCCAGCTAAAATTTACATATACATAAAGCTGATATTCAGCATCTCGCAAAACAGATCATGCGTAAAATAAAATATAGAGCTCATGAGTGAATCCCATTTGAAGTATTCTTTTTTGTATGTGGTGCATATTTAACGAAATGCAAACCGAAGAATTTGGCCGAAGCGGTAAAGTTTCTGACTTTTTTTCGGGAGGTGATCGGCTCAAATCCCAGCCGATACACTGGCTGTTCAGACTGAGGGTTTCCGTGGTATTCTTCAGTTTCTCCAGGAAAATTCCATGATAGTACCTCAAAATAGGCCATGACCATTACCTTCTAAATCATTTCCAAATTCACTGCCATCCCACCGTTCGACACTACATCGTCTGAACTACTGACAGCGTCACTAAATACGTAAATCGCAAATTAACAAAAGCAATGCAGCGCGCAGTGAGTATTCCCACGCAGATGGCTTACCACTCTTTGTTTCCAGCGCAAGGTGGAAAAGACGAAAAGTAACTTATTACACAATTTCCGAGTTATGAAATCATCAGTATCTACAAATTATATTATTGATGTCATGGGTTTGAAATATTTACTCTACCACTTCTACAAAAACAAACGCGAGCGAAATGTTGGTCACAATTGCAGTGGGTTTATATTCCTTGATTTCGCATCTATTCTAATTACGTTTCTAGTCTCTTACTCCGTTACTGCAGAACGTTCTAGCCTCCTTTAAATTCTCTTCTGTTACGGCCTTTCTGATCTGGCTCAGGATAGGGACCAGTGGAGAGCTCTTGTGAACACGGTAATGAACATTCGGGTTCCATAAAATGCTGGGAAATTCTTGAGCAGCTTCAGAATTGGTGGCTCCTCAAGAAGGGCTCAGCTCCATGAGTAAGTAAGTAAGTATGGCCTTTCTGAGCATGTAATATCATGTCTGTACCTAAACTAAGTGTAATTGGGCTATATTATTTCGGGACGCGTGGAGACTATATAAAATTTCTGCACCTGTTGAAGCACGTGATCTTACCTCGTGTCACCGTTCGTTTTCTCAGGAACAGCGGGACATGTCAGCCAGTGTTCCTGTTTGAAGTAACATTTTGTTTGTTTTTTTTTGCAATGCCGGAAAATCAAAATTTCCGATGATACTGTGTTCTTAGCTACAAATGAGTTTGAATTCTTTCAGTTTGTTCGTATACACGTACATATAGAACGATATTCATTACAGCATTTTGGCTTAAGTAACATTGTCTTCGCCGGTCACCGTAGCCGAGAGGTCTGAGGCATGTACTGTCTTCGCTCGGTCGGAAGCCGGGATCGTGGGTTCGAACCCCACACAAGGCATGAATGTTTGGTGTGTATTCGTTTATTCTGTGTTTTGGTAGAGGCCTTCCTACGAGCTGATCACCGTCCAAAGAGTCATACCTCTAAAAAGTGATCAATGAAACTGAGAAATCAGCCCTATGCTCCGAAGCGGAACCGAGAGGGGAAGAACCATTGTCTTCAAGTACATTAAAGTTCAGTGGGAACACGTGACACAACTAAAATTAATAGTAAAGGGGGAGGAGGGGTATCGTTATTTACTTGTAACAGGGGTTAACTTCCGCAAAACTTTTATTCGCGTTTCGCATTTGGGCTTAAGTTCTAGAAACTTCGCTACTCTAATGCATGTACTGTATGTATACTAGATAGATAAAACATAGACGAACACTTTACCCATTAATGAGATTAATATTGTCTATTCTGACGTCTCGTTCTTACGAAATAATGGATTTGTGACGGCATGTGCTAGGGAGATCAAATACATGCATACAAAAAGCATTATTCTATGATACGCTGTTGTCATTTCATCAAGGATCATTGTCGGTAGCGCAGTGGTTCAGATGCTGTCAAGGGATTCCAGAGGGCTCTGTTCATTCCCGCGGCAGAATCAGAGCAACAGTCGCCATAGGGGCGAAGTTCAGAAATTGCTCCAGCTTTCCGTTTATTGATATCTGTATTCATGTCTCATTTTCCTTTGGCTTGGTAAGGATCGACTATTAAAAAAGACAACACTAGAACGCTGTTTAAGTACTGAAGTTGCTCCAACTTTACATAGGAATGGCGCCGCAGGACTGGAAAAAAAAACGGATAGACCCAATAATGTTAGACGTTAACCTAATGAAGTATGGCCTCTTCTCGATACGAGTCTGCGAAAGTTATTCCAGTGTTGCCCGCACCTGCGTCCAGACTGTAGCTGCAACAGTCATGTAGCTGTCAGTCAGTCCCCGATATGACAAGATGAATGAGCTTCAAACTATGAAATTATCCGACAGCATGCAAATCCATTACAAGCCACAAACTGTGTGCCTACCAAGAGTCAAGACGCCCATTATGTGTGTCACCGAGTGGGCACGATTTGCCCTCAAACGTACAAGCCAACCAAATGAGACACATTAATTAGATTTGATGGGAATGAAAATTGTGGTCTTCTGGGCTGTAACACCGTATTGTGTCGTATGTAGTCAACCGAAGTTTTGGTAGAATCAGTTACTTCCGTCTTGAGGCTAGAAGACAGGAAGCAGATTCCTCCAACCTGGCGGTAACCACCTAACATGCTACACGTCGAATAACCTAAATGACCACAAACTGAAGACACATATTAAACAATCTAATAGTTAGGTTATCCGTCCACTGTTACCAGTTTCTGTGGTAGTACCCCGGTACGGTTAGAACTAGACTTTCATTTACGCCCTATTTTGTAATGCGTACGGTGTTCAGCCCTTAGAGCACATTGTTTTCTGTATGTATGATGACCTCGTAACATTTTAAAACTCCACATTTTGCCCTTAGAACGAGTTTGTGTTCTTCGTATGATTCTCACACTAAAAGGAGATTATACCCCTAAATTGTATTAATCAGTCACTTTCTGCAATAAAGATGACTTATTTTCTATGAGGCAGAATCTGATTTTTTAATTATCAGCTTATTTAAAGGAATTGCAGGCTTCATTAGATTAACAACGAAGGCCTTGTAAATTACCCCATCGATATGTTACCTGTTGTCCTGTATAGTCCTTACTTCGAAGGAAGAACAGAGATTAGCAGTGTGTGAGGAAATAGGTTCTTACAGGACGATTTAGCCCAAAGAGAGATTGAGACAGGTAAGAAAAGTACATAAACAATAGCGTCATAATGCACAATCGTCTCCTAACATTATTATAAAGACGAAAGGAAGGAGTAGATTGGCGGACTATACACTATGCGAGGAGGAACAAGAATTCATACAAAAGTTTGTAAACCTATGTAAAGATACAGTTTAGGAAAACTAGATATATGCACATTAATAATGAAATTAAGTTATGGAAGTAAGTCATGAGGATATGAAGTTGATATGGTCCTACGCCGAGCCTTGGTGAAGACATTACTGAACCTTTGGAATTAATAATAATAATAATAATAATAATAATATAGAAATTCTTGAATAGTTGAGTAGGCCTACGTAGATAATACTGAGGATACCGCTAGTCAGTCCGTCCGTCATTTACTTTTTTTTTATTTATTTAAATTTTAGCAATCAGAATATTACATAATTCTATAAGCTAAAGTGCTGATTACTCATTAGATATACTAATGACTAGTGGCATGAACAGGTTGATATCCAGCGAAATCACCTGTATAATCTATAATTAGTATCTGTACATTAACTTAAGAGTAGTTCACTTGGCCACAGTTTCATTTACATTGCCAACAGATACTGAGTGAAATGATTTGCAACATGTAACAAGCAACGTAGAGCTAAGCTTCTCCCTTCTTTTCAGACAAATCTGTGTGGACGATGGACAAGAACTGTCGCTGCAGTATGGCTGCCAGTTCTACGAAGTTAGTGCTGCGGAGAACTTCGCTGGAGTGTCTCTCGCTTTCCAGTCTCTCCTGAGGGAGGCACGCTCCGTTCAGCTTCTGAGGGCTCTACCCATCCGGAGGAAGCTCGGAGTCAACAGTGTGTCAAAAGTTCTGGGTAACATCTTCGGGAAGAATAACAAGACTGGTGACCGCAAGAAGAGACCGTCTCTCAGCATCTAGCTGCTGGATGTGTGAACGTCACGACCTTATAGATCTGTCCTGTTATGTACACTCACTTCAGCGATTCTTTCACACATTCTTAAAGATATGAAAAGTGTTTGCAAGATAGCTTAAAGTACTTCCAAACCACGGACATGATTTCAGCCGCCACTTAAATACTTAAAGGAACAGGCCACGAAACGTCCAATTCATATAGGTTTTTGCGATGGAGGTGGAAGTCATTGTGAAAGATACCATGGTGGATGAAGTGAATAACTGTGCCGACAGATGTTTCCCCAATTCACCGTCACGGTGACCATATAAACTAAGGGTGGCTGTCGAGATTAACTCTTTACCGATCATTAAAGTGCTCTGTATGTTGTTAATTTAAATACGATTCCTAAAGCTGGTTTTAAACCATACAGCTTTGTTTTGTGTTGATGAGTTATAGGCCTAAAAAGGTTTTCTACATTCCACTGCTTTAAACATAGCAGATGTTTGATTTGCATGTTGATATGAATCCATATCGATACAGAAAGAAATACGTTTTATTAAAATAGTGGTGGATACGAGTTTGTGTACATTTCTCGAGAGAGAGCGTAAGTAATAAACGCCTTTGAATAACCAATAGAAGTGAAGAAACAAAATTAAATTTAAAAGTTAGTTTTCAAGTTCAAAACAAAATACGACAAACATGACTAAAATGTTCCTATTTACTGCTAAAATTATCTTGAGTTTGGGATTTATGCCATGGGCTCCGCTCCCTTCCCCGGTAATGATAAAACATTACTGGCCCCAAGGAAAACGTTCACAGGATTGGTAAGCGTGGCAAATGAAGGGAGACCGCTGTGTATGTGTGGGAGGGAGGAAGAACCGATGTTGCGATATTTTGTTGTGACGTAACCCGTAAAGGGGAATGTACATTACTGTTGAAGAAGACTGAAATGCGCCCACCAAACGGTCTTCTGCTACCTCCCAGTTCAGAGGCACCTTAAGACCGAGAGTCATTCGATCCGCTTGTGGGCTCATAGCTCACAACCGGGTAAATTCCTTTGTAAACTATTCATATTTCATATAATGGAGGATAAATAGATTTCCTCAGGAATAAACACAAGAGAAACTTTTCAGGGTTCCATCCGTTCCCTAGGCTGTCAGACGAAACGTTTCGAACATTCCTTAGGAATTTCGCACAATCCTACGTGGCGTTCTTTTAATATAAGAATCATCTTCCTACCCCAGTAAACAATGATCCGAGTAAATGTTTTCTGAAGTAATTTTACGTGCTGTGGGCCAAACCGTATCAGAAAGTGCTTCATTTCCTTAAAGGAATGAAGGGTCCTCTGACTCGTGAGCAGTCCATATATTAACTGTATATGTCCGAATATAAATGCATCGGCCGATCACAGTGGCTCCACGGTGTGGGGCATTAGCTGGTTTCGCTCTCTCGAACAATGGGACCATGGAAANGACGACTTTCTTCATAGTCATCGCCGTGAAAACCTCAAACTTTACAGAATGGGACCATGGGTTCGAATCCCACGCAAGACATGGATGTCTGTGTGCGTCTATTCTGTGTATATGTTGTTCTGTGTGGGTAGCGGCCTTGCGACGGGCTGATCCCCCGTCCAGGGAGTCCTACAGACTGTGTATAGATTAAGAAAGCGAAAAAGTGGCCACGGCCGAAAGGGCTGTAGAGCCATACATAGATAAATCCACCTCTTTTGCTACATGTCCCCTCGATAAAGTGGCTGCACATTGTATTCACTTACTTTCGAGTATGTTAGATATTTTATCGTCCCTTTCCTTTATCTCATGACTGACTTGAAGATGACTTATTCGCTTAATTCACACTTTCATCCGTTGTAGATGGTTCCTTCTTGTTATGGAAACTATTAAATGCATTTTGAACAACCGCTGTGCTAGAGATTTGATGTTCCAAAATTGGGATGCGCATTATATTCGAGACCACCTTCAATTCGGACAAATAAGGTTAATACACAATCATTACGTTGTTTTAAATTCCTGTTCAGTACAAATCCGGTATAGCTGTTGCTGTGACAAGTGAAACTGTTTCTCGTTAAAGCAGGTTTAAAAATAGGGGATGAGCCAATTAAGAAGGTACAAGAAGAATGTCGTCTTCTGGGATGTGGCGCCGTGTAAATGTCGTGTAAAGTGACGTTTCAGAGGAACGTATCGCCTCAATCTTCAGGGATTTCTATACTCTGAAGATGGAGGTGATACGTTCCTCCGAAACGTCGGTTTACAAAATATCCACACGGCGCCAAATCCCAGAATACGACATTCTTCATAGTCACCGCCGTGAAAACCTCAAATATTGCAAAAAGGTACAAATCCGTGAAATGAGATGTCCGAATAAAAGATGACCCCGAAAATTGATACACGTGAAATGTTGAGCCATTCTGATTATATTTCCATTTGTTGAGATAAAAAAGCAAGTTAGGGGAGTGGGTTGTATAGGACGTATAGGAGACTTCTCATCCTGATGTCGATATGGATATAGGTAGGAGAGTGTGTTCTCCTCTTCTGCTGCTTCAACATTGTGTTCAATTTGACGGTCCAGAAATTAATTGCATCACAAGCAGTTAGTGTTCAGAATCACCGAAGAGTAGTTTCTTCTCCCATGATTCCACACACATTGACAGGAGACGGTGATGAGTTTGTCAGTTTAATTCCATCCTAATAAATGATTTGTGTATTTTGCAATATCGTGAAACTCTCAAATTTCGAGCCAAAGGCACATGGAAAAACAAGGCGGGTATTAAAGTACAGTCTCAGGAGCGAAAAAACCAAACAACCTACATGAAGCTGACATTATCTGAAGACCATATGGCTGTAGACATTGCAAAACAATGTTATGATTCAAGTCAGAAGCTTTTTAAAGCCTGTATCCCTATGATTCACTGTTGGGTGACCGGACGTACAAATATAGCCCGTTTCTTATTAGAACATTCGAAAACTGGCAAGACAAGATAGTAGAAATTTGGCAGTTATCCACATCTTCTGTAAAGCTATGGAATGTGTTTGAGGAAATTACCTGTTTCTCTGATCTATTTACTGGCTGTGTCATTCAATAGTAGACGACCCACGATAAATGTGAAATTATTGCGTCGTTGGACACATGTATTATACAAATCTTGAATAATTTAAGAATGGCGATAGGATCAGTGCCATGGAAAAGCAGAAGAATGTGGACATTCCGTAACATCCTCGACTTAGTTGAAACTATGATCTCATAAATACTCGTAGTAAGATATGTTATATGTACTTTAATTTTTACTTTCTTTTCTTTCATATGAGAGTGTAAAATGTGAAAGTGAGTTATAGTATTTTTTTATGTGAAATGAATGATTTGTGGTGACAAATATTCCCTTGATGCTCGCGGTCATACTAATTTCTATCGCTGGACGGGCACAGTTGCCCTACATTGTGTAGGCCCGTTCCTCTAACTTTAAACCTAATTCACAACAGATTTAGATATGTGTAATTATATAGCAGATGTAGATACATGTATATTTTATTACCAATAAAAATGTGAAGTATGGAGAGGATGTGATTCTGTTCATGCCATAAATTTGTTCTCACTGCCTTGTACCGGTATTCTAATACTTCTTAATGTCGCAGAGCGTCCGAAGATTCCTCTTTATCTGCAGCATATCAGCATGCTTTTGCAGTCCATTTACTGCAGACAAAACAATTTAATTGGAATGTTGTTCTCTCTGTTCATCAGCATACTTAACCTCTGAAACTAATTTAACGAATTGCAGTGAAAATTTGATAATAGGGACCGTGCTAAAATTTGAATGGAGAACCTTATTTTTTCCGTTGTTCCATTATAGTCCATTCTTTACAGAAGACCAAAATAAGAATCTCTGTTCTCTCAGAAGACAACTGTTGGCGCAGTATAGCTAATTGACTCGTGTATTAGAGGTGTGTCTAAAACATTTTTAGAGTGAAGATTGCCGTCTTCTGGGATGCAGCGCCGTGTAGATATTGTGTAAACCGACTCAGTCTGCAGCCACCTGCTCACACTGGTTCATTGCTCACGGATTTTTATACCCTGAAGATGGAGGCGGTACTTTCCTCCGAAACGTCGGTTTACACAATTTCTACACGGCGCCACATCCCAGAAGACAGCATTCTTCATACTCACCGCAGTGAAAACATTAAAATCTTACATTTTTAGAGTGTTTCGTCATAATGACATAGATTGTAGATTTCTCTTGCCCAGTCATTTTTATTGTTCATACTGAAGATCGGAGACGTAGCGTATGCGCATGTCTCTTTCTGCACACGTATCGGCTTCACCTCCGCCTCCGTTTGATTATACATTCTTCGCGAATCGCACAGCCTACGTAATGTTTCCAGAATTTCTTTGCCTGTATAAATGTTGTGGGGTTTCCGAGAGTGGCTGAGTCTGTTCATGAGCGTACAGCGGCATGTAGCGGTCGTGTGTAGAGAAACAGACGTGAAACAATGCGTACAGCAAGACGAGAAGTTACGTTACTGCTGCCAGTGCAAGTGACAAGAACACAAGAAGACAATGCAGTGGAATAGTGGAAAACTAGACAAGCCGACATCAGGGTCTTAAGTGACTACTGACATACAAGCATTGACTGTTCCAAAACAAGATAAACGTTGAAATATCTACGTATAGCAGAGTTCAGCTACTTTTCGATCGAGACCCCAAAATGCACACCTTATACCGCGCGGTCACTTCCTCGTAGAAGTCATTCGTAAAAGTGGCGCCTAAAAACAATTTCAGTCCACCACTAATTATTTTCGTTAGCTGGAACCAACAAGCTGTGTCGCTTAAACACGAAATGTCTCTGAGAATAAGAATAACCCACAACAAATATTTAATACAGATCGTTGTAGTAATAATTTACAGTCCGTGAATCGTATGGCATAAAATTGTGTTGGAAACGTCGCTTCCGGCCGCTGCACTCGAGTTCCACTATACAGAGTGTCCCAGGTTTTTGGTGCCATACTTCAGGAGCGTACCGAGCGTTCCCTATACAACAACTTTGAAATAGGAACCCATGTCCGCAAACGTAAAATAGCAGCGCTAGGGCGGCATTTAATATCATTTCGTTTAAACTTGGCGCCTCAATGCCGAAGAGCATGCACAGGCATATTACCCCCTCCAAACTCTTAAGAGTCACCTTCTAGAGTAGATGTTGGAATTGGCGTCCTCCGTTTTCAATGCATGCGTTACATCGACGTAAGAAACTTTGGCTCACCCTTTGAAATATTCCAGGTGTCTCACGGATCGCATCACATGCAACAAGTATACTGGCCAACAGCTCGTATTCATTATACACAGGCGTGTCGTAGATCAGACTTTTCACATGGCCCCACACGAAATAGTCCAGAGGTGTCAAGTCTGGTGATCGGGGTGGCCAAGGCACTGGGCCTCCTCTTCCCACATTTTTCTCCGCACAATCAGTGGCACGTCTTCTACCAAAGTCGGAAGGATATGTTCCAGGAACACCTTGTAAAAGGGCCCATTGAGTCGCGGTGGTAGGAGGAAAGGCCCAATCAAGTGATCACCGATGATGCCCGCCCGGACATTGACAGAAAATTACACCTGGTGGTAACCAACTACAGTAACGTTAGGGTTTTCGTCAGCCCAGACGTGGCTATTTCGGCAGTTGAACCAGCCATCCCTGGTAAACTGCGCTTCGTCTGTGAAGAACACGTGATTCAGGAAGTTGGGCTGATGTAGACACTGGTTCAGTATCCACTGACACAATTGAACTCGTGGTACGAAGTCAGCTGGACCTACGCCATGTACTCTCGTTGGATGATACGGATAAAGCTGTTGGTCGTGCAGGATCCTCCAAACACTTGATTTTGATGTCCCCACAATCTTGGCAATGGCACGAGTGCTGGTGGATGGCTGTTCCTCTATGCAATGCAGTTCGATATTGAGGCGCCAAGTTTAAACGAAATGATTTTAAATACCGCCCTAGCGCTGCTATTTTACGTCTGCGGACATGGGTTCCTATTTCAGAGTTGTTCTATAGGGAACCCTCAGCACGCTCTTCAAGTATGGCACCAAACTCTTGGGACACTCTGTATGAAAGTTCAGGCTTTAATTTGCCTGAATGAAAAGGGCATGTCGCTGTCTCTAAGCAGCTCCCCGGCGCGTTGTTAAACGGTCCCATCTTGCCTTGCGCCAGAAACTGCGCATGCTCATATGTACACGACGATTAGGAAAGTCATGACCCGCTAGACTCCTTGCCGCGTAAAAGATTTAAAGCTCGCTCCACTGCACTGGATACACAAAATTATCTGCAAATTAAAGTGGAGGCAGAAAGCATCTCTTTTTTTCTCTCACTAATAAGGTCTTCTGTTGCTATGTTTTAATTCCCAATTAGGTTTGAAACTGTGAATTCTTAGACATCTTAAGGGACACTTTGGACGGGGAATGGGCCTA